AAGAAAAACATTTACCTCAAACTTGTATGGACAAAAAACCTTTATATATCAGTTTAGTACATTAGCCTTGCAATAAGACAGCCAATAATAATATCGTATTCTTTGTTTTTTTAGGGATAAGAAAAAAGAGCTTGCTCCGAATTGTGCTGCGTATTATCCATTCGGTCTCGACGTGTTTTTATCTCAGAGAAAGTTAAATCACATTGCTCGATTTATAGAACTTCCCTTTGTAAAACCTTCTGGGAAGCTTCCACCTATCCTTGTCGTGAATGTTCAGGTATTGCACACACGGAAGCATAACCCTTTGTTAGTTTAACTATTACAGATAATTGAATTCTTTTCTCCTTGAACTTGACTATTAACTTGGGCTAATTTTTTTTTTATTTTTATTTTTTTATTTTCAGATACCTTTATATCCTGCCGCAATTTTTCAAGGTGAAACAGATGGTGAAGGAATCAGCTTTGTTTTGTATTTTAAACTTTCTGAAAGCTTTGCCAAAGACCTTCCACCCCATTTTCAGGATAATATTCGGGTAAAAGACAATTTACGAGCTAATTTAACTCATATTAGGCAAAATTGCATTTGTAGTCTTGCTTGTTTGATGTCATAGCAATTTTAGTCATGAAGTTCAAACATTTCGCTTTTTGGTCCTATGATTTAGGCTATGTTTGGTAACCAAATAAGCTAGCTTATGGCTTATTTGGGTAGCTTATAAGCTTCGCTTGGTAGGACGAGCTTTTTTAAAATGCTCGATCTTATCTCATAAGCTTCTTTGAGTAACTTCTCAAATAAGCTCGTTGAATTTTCTATTTCAGCTAGCTTATCTTTTACCAAACACTTTTGTAATATAAGCTAGCTTTTCATCTTTACATAAGCTATAAATTATAAGCTCAAAAACTTACTTATAAACTATCAGCTAGTTTTAGCAAACCTAGCCTTAATATTTTGCTGCAATTAGTCCTCAAAAGGACTGGAATTTTGAGGACTGGAATGCAACAAATTCCCAAATTTTCTACTAGCTATTTAAGTTTCGTAATTTAAAACTTTGTTGCAATTTCAGTCCTGTAATTTAAAATTATGTTGCAATATCAGTCCTCAAAGACTTAAGGACTGAAATTGCGGCAAAATATTAAATCACAAGGACCAAAGGGTGAAAAGTTGAAACCTCGACGCTCAAATTGCTATGATGTTAAACCAATAAGACTAAAAGTGCATTTTTGTCAATTATTTTTTAATTCAGAATTGATGTAATAATTCGTGTATGGTTTGGATAACAGAGGTTAATCGACGATGAAGTAGAAAAAGTCAAAGGTTTTCGTTCGGAAACAATTATTCCCTTCCGAGAAAGATTGAAAATATTGGGCCGTGTGGCGAATGTGGAAGACCTTCCAATGAGTGGGGCAGAACGAAAACTCATGCACGCCTACAATGAAAAGCCCGTGCTTTCGCGCCCTCAGCATGAGTTTTACTCTGTAAGCCCGAAACTTGTAAATTTTCACACAATAATCAGACGTGAGGTTTGAGGCAAAGCCTTATTATCAACCAATTGAAATTGTGAAAATGAATATATAAAGTGTTTTTTNAATGTGGAAGACCTTCCAATGAGTAGGGCCGAACGAAAACTCATGCACGCCTACAATGAAAAGCCCGTCCTTTCGCGCCCTCAGCACGAATTTTACTCTGGCGAGAATTATTTCGAGATCGACTTGGACATGCACAGATTCAGCTACATTTCGAGGAAAGGGTTCGAAACATTCCTGGACAGACTTAAGCTGTGTGTTCTGGATTTCGGATTAACAATTCAGGGCAATAAGGCTGAAGAGTTGCCAGAGCACCTTTTGTGTTGTGTAAGATTGAATGAAATTGATTATTCAAATTATTATCAGCTTGGGGTTTATGAGGAGAATCTTGAATAAGCTTTGATCTAAAGGTGTAATTAATCATCAATATAAATATAAGTTGAGATCAATTCATATTTCCAGGGGCAAGTCTCATGAGAGGAAAAGGAAAAAAAGTTGAAAAAATACACTTCCTTCTTTTTTCTTTTACCTACGGTTAATATGTAAATTGTAAAATGTTGCATAATAATAACATATTAAATGTTTGTGAAATTATGTAATTAGTGAAGTGTGCGGAACAAAATAGAAGACAAAATTGAACTTTGTTTGCGCGTCATGTCGTTTTTGGTTGCGTAATACAACTCTATTATGTGTCACTTTAAGAAAATATGTGAGAAATGTAAGTACACGGTTATTGTATGTTGAAAAGTTATGTGAAAATGTTTATATTGTATAATATGATTGTTGTGACACGTATTCTTATGTGAAACGATTTAATTGTAGGTTAATCAACTTGGTAACTATTAATCAACTTGATTATTTTTTAAATTGAAATGTATACTTCCATCGGTTAAATTGATTGAGTTTTTTTTTACTTTTTAGACAAAAATACATTAAAAAAAATTATTTTTTCATGTTCTTGTTTTTATACACCACTCTAGAATTGTCCTCATTAAAAATTATCCCCTATTTTTTTTCCGTACAATTTCTTTAAAATCTGTATTAAATCTTAAGAGCTTATATAATTGAAATTTGTAATTTATGAGGTCGCATATTACTTATCCTTGTCCTGTATGAACACAAGGAGTTGACTGAAAAAAATAGAAACGCGTGACCAAGCACATTTTGTCACCTATACGTATGCAAATCCCTTTCAGTTCAATCGTTGGCTTCTAGGAAAATGGTCCACCTGGATAGATAAGTCCCACTCGCAGTTGAAGTTGTTTTAAAGTGGTAACTTGCACGCGCCCACTATCGTGTGCACTTGACCTAACTAATGTAATCACCATTATACCTTTTTCATTTGCACTTCTAAATTAAAAGTATTACGGTATTACCCATGTGTATATGCACATGTGTAACTAAAATTATTATATTAGATATATATATAAAAATATTATTTTAAATTATAAATTAAATAATAAAATATCACAATTTATAAATTTTAATATAGTAAAATTGAACAATATAATTATAAATGACTTGCTTAGGCATGAACCACTATATAGATTGTGTAAAATGTAACGAATAATGTAATCTTTTAAAAATTTGAAGAATCATGGTCATTAAATTAGCTGAAAAAATATTCAAATTATTATACTTATTATAACAATTGTTTTACATTATTTTAAGAGTTCACTGTGCCATAAAAAACTGATTAGATGTTTGAAAAAATGACATTAATTTCAAAATAAATACCATGAAAAAAAAAAAATCTATAGTATTATTTTTTACAATTGTTAACTTTCGTATTTCGTAAACCTTTTAGTGTGAACTGATAATTGGTTAATATTATTTGTAATTATTATATGATAGAAAGGTTAAGAAAAATAACATTACACTTAGTTAGTATANTAATTCATCCAAAAAAAACTCAAAGGCGAATTCAAAATTATGTGCTTTCTAAAATCAAATCAGTAAATATTACTTTGTACAAAGCAGTAAATTTTAATTAGCTAATAAATGATTTAGAACCAAAAAATTTAAGAAAACTTGCAATATAGGGTAAGATGTTTATATAAGTGCATATTTTTTAAAAATTCATTAAGGCAAAAATTTAGGGTTGATCTATTTGTAACTGAAATTGTGTTGATATCATGTTAAAAAAAAATCTGAATCTCTATACTTTACCCATCAATCATAAACTACCTGCTATAAACTCAAAATTCACTTACAAATTATTATTAAGTTGCAGTAAGTAATTGTTTTAAGCCAATATTATCTTCCAAAATTTCTTTTGTAGGAATCATAAATGGAATTTTGACTACTTTACTTTTGTATTTGCATTTTTACATGCACATATTAATGCTTCCATTTATGCTTGGTTGCATAATGGAGGATGAATAATTTGTTATTCTATGGTTGGGACTGTAGTATTAAGAAAGTAGCAATCCCACTATATGAGGACCCAACTAAATATCAAACACTTTAAAACTTTGGACAATAAAGCTAGCTAGGGAATTTTATTTATTGAAACAATTCCATATATTATCATAGATGATAGTGATTTCCATACTTCATTGAGAAAATATGAAAAGATATTCAATTAATTCATCTAACTTGGGATATTCTACGGTTAGATTCGCCTCGTACCAACCTCGTACTTACCTAACATCAGGTTCCCCTTTAAATTGATGCCACGTGTCCTATTTATTAATTAATTAAAAAAATAATTAAAAAAAAGCTTGTGTAAATACTAAACTATCCTTACTGAAAAGAAATTATAAAATATGGTGTTTAATTATTCTGATATTATTATTCTACCCTATCACATTTATATATTCTAATTAAACCACAAATTCTAAATAAATTTCATTTTTTTCTTGCACTCAATCAATCATCTTCATATTTCTATCTCTCGCTGTGAAAATCATCATGTGCTTCTATTCGATCAATCATCAGAATCGTTAAAACCTAATATAAGATGAATTAGATGAATCCATCATCAGATCACCCCACCTTCCACCAATCTTCAGATCTTCCTTCCTCTCCACCAAACTCCCGCCGCAGGCCAGCCCCATCCCTGTGCGCCGCCCTCACCGTCCGCGCCACCCTCACCGTCCGCGCCACCGCCACATCCTCCTCCTCCGATCTCCCTTCCGCCGCCGCCGCCACGCTCAAGCATCGCCCCCTGTGGACGAGAACATCCGCGACGAGGCCCGCCGCCATGCATCCTCTTACGGCTTCTCCGCCTGAGATCGACGGCGACGACATCGTGAGCGCCTTCGAGGGGAATTCCAACCTCTTCTGGGCCGAGCATTTTGGCAAACAGTTCCTGGGCATGAGCGATTTGTGGGTCAAACCTCGAATTCCAACCTCTTCTGGGCCGAGCATTTTGGCAAACAGTTCCTGGGCATGAGCGATTTGTGGGTCAAACACTGCGGGATTAGTCACACGGGCAGCTTCAAGGACCTGGGCATGAACGTCTTGGTCAGCCAGGTCAATAGGCTGCGTAAAATGAACCGCCCGTTCGTCGGCGTGGGCTGTGCCTCCACGGGTGACACGTCTGCCGCCCTATCCGCGTACTGTGCTTCCGCTAGAACCCATCCATCATTTTCCTGCCGGCAAATAGGATCTCAATTGCCCAGCTTGTTTAGCTAATTGCAAACGGTGCATTTGATCTGAGCATCAATACTGATTTCGATGGTTGTATGCAGTTGATTCGTGAGGTCACGGTTGAGCTGCATGTTTACCTGGCTAATTCATTGACAAGCTTGAGGCTCGAGGGCCAGAAAACCGCCCCCATTGAAATTCTGCAGCAGTTTGACTGGCAGGTGCCTGACTGGGTGATTGTCCCTGGTGGAAACCTTGGAAACATATATGCCTTCTACAAAGGCTTCCGTATGTGCAAGGAACTCGTGCTCGTGCATAGAATTCCAAGGCTCGTGTGTGCTCAGGCCGCGAATGCTAATCCTCTTTACTTGCATTACAAATCTGGTTGGAAGGACTTTAAGGCCATGAAGGCTGAACCACCATTTGCACAGGCAATTCAGATTGGGGACCCTATTTCTATTGATAGGGCGATTTATGTTTTAGTTTTTTCTTGGATGGATTTTAACTGATGTGTACCAGTAGCTGGGTTTTGAAATTTTTATCTGATTTTCTTGACAAATTAAGGGGGGGACGAGTGTTCTTGATGGTGATTAGCCTGTTTCATGATTTGGTTATCATTCTGTTCGTCTTTGTATGGGGCTCTATGTAACTTATATGGCGTGAAATTATGAATTTTTCGTCTTGGGTGAGATCGCCCATATAAAGGGACCATTTTCATATTCTGTATTTTGTATATGGACGCTCATAAGTTTGTATAATTTGATGACTTCTTAGTTGAGCCGAGGAAGTTGCTGAAGCCTATGTATCGTTTATCTAACGTCATCCTTTCATGAAAGCTTGTGATATTCAACTACTAATATTTTGTCATCATCACGAAACTAAGTGGCTCTTGCCATGCATGAGTTGATAAATTCAGCCATTGCAAAAATAAACAGACACAGATGATTTTTCAGGATTTAATTATATTAGTCTCATTGGGTTTTGATTTCGCAACAAATTTCTTTGTATAAATGTCAGAAGAATGATTTTTACCATTAAGTCTTGACAGTGAATTTGTTCATTGCTCTATGGTTCTTCGGCTACTATTTCGCTTGAATCTCGGGCCTAAGTCATTAACATGAAATTTTGAAGTAAAGGCAAGAAGAAATCGTCATTGAGAATAAGTGATTTGAGGGAGGAAAGAGGATATGAGCGGATTTTATATATGTTTATGTTCCTATGTAAATCTTCAAAAAAATAAAACAAGCAACCAAGTTAAGGTTGAATTGGATTCAGGAGGGATTTCTGCAAATGGTTTCAAATGACATAGCACAATAATTCTAACTCAAATTAAGAGCTAAGGATTGATCTTATAACGACAAGCTAAATGGTTTCAAATGAGTTATGCAGATTGATTGATTTTATGCTTCTTTGCTTTCCACGCCTTTCACATGTCCACACCTTAAATCACTTTCTTATAACAAAAATCGAGCAACTGCCTGTATATGTATACACGCTTCAAAACAATAAAACCGTTCACAAATATTCAAAACAATCTCATCACTGCTTGCATGTAATATAATCTCTACAAACCACCAATTATAGATTAGAAAATCAAAACAAGTTACACATGCCATACATCATCCTCACTTTCATCACTATATGAAACCAAATAGCTACAGGCCTGGACATATCAATATTTCATGGAAGACTTGTTTCACACTTTTCCCGGGGGCCTCGTTTCTGCTTGAAGACTCTACTTTTGCTTTTCTTTGCTTGCAGTTTCACTTTGATTACCAAGCCTAATTGGCGAAATGTTGTATTCTTTCTTCTCACTACTGAGTCTTTGTCCTACGAAAGTGAGTCTTTGTCCTACGAAAGTGCCCCGCGCCTGAAATACACAATTAATAAAAAATAATAGTAAGGTGTAAAGAAGACCCACTTATTTTATAAAAATGACAATACGCCTACTTATCAGTGCGTCTTAACATACATGAATTGTGGTGAAAGCAGTATAAAAACAAGTCACCGGCGCTAATCGAACTTCAAAAGTTGGTCCATTAGCAGTATCACCTGCCAGATGCAGTAAACGTTTGTGGGTGAGAACATCTTCTGCCCTCTCAACATTCGCATCCATTCCATACCTTCAATTCAGAATCATCAAAACCATAAACCTCGGAAAAAATTGTCTACCAACTTGCACGAGGATCACTTGTGTGCAGAAAAAGTAACAGAATATTCCTAGCATGCAGTACCCCATAAAACGACCCATAATTTTGATTGCGCCATTCACATGAAAATTGATTACAATTACAACAGAACAACACAATGAACCCACCATTAATTGAACAAATTGGATGATGAAGTTCCTAAAAAATAACCAATCACAAAACCCCAACATCCTAATCCATGGATTGAGAGAACAAAAAACGATTAAAAAAATCTCACTCCATTTCCGAATGCAAGACAGAAAGGCAAATCAAGCCTTAAAAGACCAGCACAAAGTAGATAGATGCAATGAATTTATAACATGATTTGGGGCATAAAAGACCAGATAAGGCAACCTGGCAGGAAGGCGATTGAAATGGGCCCAAAGCTGATCGTCGGAAGACGGTTCCTGCGCCTCCGGATGCTCGGCCTCCTTCAGCCGCCGCAAAACCTCGTTGTGAACCTCCACCTTCTTCCGCTGCTGCCGGCTCTTCCCTCCCGAAGTCTCCACCACCGCTAGAGCTTCTTGCCGATTTCCAACGCGTCCTTGGAGGCCTTCGAAATCCCGATGTCGGGCCCGAAATTGCTATCCCGGCAGTGAGATTTATCAGGGAGAACGACGATTTGAGGGTTTCTCTTATTTTTTCCTCTGGAAATCGGTCGGGGAGGTCGAACTATAGTTACAAGTTAGGGGTTGAAGAACATGAACAATAATTTAATTCGTTAATTAAGTGTTAAGATTGTGATTATATATTTTTGTATATGAAGGATTGTTATATAAATAATATAGATGTAAGGGCTTCAAAATAAATACAATTACCATTTTATAATTTATTTTAATTTTTAATGACATAAGGGTATTCTAGATTTTTTGTAAATAAGAGGGGGTACGAGGTTGGTACGAGACAAAAAGAATTTTGGTTGCCTCGTACTGTTGGTAATATTTTTGGGCAAGTAATAACCGAGTTACCCGACTCGGGTCGTTCTCTAAGGAAAGTTAGCCGGATTAAATTGTATGTTTATTCAATTCACAAAAGAGAAAATATTCCTAAACATTCTAATTCAATTTAATAATGGGGTTTTAAACTAAATTAAAAGTAACATAAATGCTATCATTTTACTCGGAAAACCTTTCAAATGATAAAGTCGTTTTACTAGTAAATACTTTCTAACGATAAAATCGTTTTACTCGTAAATACTTTCAAACTAAAATTTGTTCTACTAGTAAAAACTTTCAAACAAATAAATTGTTCTACTAGTTAAATACTTTCAAACTATAAGTTGTTCTACTAGTAAAAACTTTCAAACAAATAAATTGTTCTACTAGTTAAATACTTTCAAACTATAAAGTTTTAAGGAAGAAAAGAGAATAACTAAAATGACAAAGATAAGTTTTAATAAATGTAAAAGTCTAGGGTATTGGGGATAATCAATTCCGGTTTTATTAACATTTATCGGTAATTAAATTACTCAGTTAAACGATTCACTTAATTTACTCATCTAGAGGTTTATCCGTACTAACTCTCGTAATATACGAATAAACTTAAATAAATGAATTAGTGGAACGGTTAACACATAAACAATACGTTTCCGAACATGTCTATTCTAAACAAATCATGTTCTATCAACTTCGCCCCTTTCGGTTATGAAATCGATTATGTAGATTAAAATGGTGATCAAACATTTAACCATAATATTAATAAAATTTGTAAAGATTGAGCAATAAAAATACTTATAAACGATAATAAACCGAAACGATTATCCTCTAACCCTAGTTAGGAAATTAGTTACTCATAGTAATTTTAACATACAAATTCTTATGTAAATAAACCATTATAAACATAAAATAAAAATAAAACTTACTAGTAATCCACAAGCTAGAGCAAGTACAAACTTAATGTCCAAACTTCAACAATCTTCAACAATTTAATCTTACAAATTCAAACTTACAAATGTAGTAAAAATAGAAATGTGGAAAGATAAAATGATATGGAAAAATTCATCCTTTTGTTTGATGATAATGTTGCTATTTATAGATATAAATAGCATACTAACATCAACTACATCAACCAAAGTTCAACAATACTTCAACCACCAAGAAAAATGCAAGAAAAGGTCAAAGAAGATAGGAAAAATGAGAGAAAGGTTGGAATTTTCGGACAAAATCCGAGAATGAATTTTTCCGCGCGCATTCGCGCACGTCTCGGGCAGCTCTGCTTCTCGGGCTCGTTTTTGGCTCGTCCGAACTCGGAATTGAGTTCCGTTTTTTTCTACGCGTTGCTAACGAACCCCTCTATTCAATGATGTATGCCAATACAAATTTCACCCAGAATACAATTATCTAAGGATTTTTAACTTCCAAGGTGTCGGCAACTCACTCGATTTTACTCTTCGGTTCCGTACGAACTCATCCGAACTCGAAATCGAGTTCCGCTTTTTCCTGTGTGTAGCTAACAAGCTCCTCTTTCCATTAATGTGATCATGCTCAATAACTTTTCAAAATCCTGCTCTTCCGAGATTTTCGACCGTTCCTTTATTTTACAAATACTCGAAAAATACAAGAAAAATATACAAAATTCCACACAAATACTTAAATATTACAAATTACTAAATAAAACTAAAAACTACCCAAAATCCCACAAACTTACTAAAAATACATAAAAATAATAATAAAAAAACATTAATAAAAACATAACAAAAATAACACTAACACGTACCAACCTCGTACCTTGAATCTAATGGTTGAGATTGATTTTTTAGTCAATCTAATGGTGATATAAGGGGATACCTGATGTTAGGTAGGTACGAGGGGTACCTGACCGTAGACGGTCCCATCTAACTTTCTTTAATATCCTATGGGGAATGTATGGATTCTGTAGATTTGTATCTATAAAATTCCATTATCTTCTTCTTCTTTATTTATTTATTTATTTATTTTTTTCATATCACAAGTTTTGTTGAAATAACAAATTAGTAAATTAAAATCTTGCTTTTGGTTACCACGCTATTTAATACTATAATCAATTGTGACAAGTTGCCTTGTAAATAGTTATTAGAGATGATTTATAAATAGTTGATGTGGTATAACTTACTTCAATAATAATTCATTTAAATAATATCTTGTTATAAGTACAATTTAGCATAGTTTAAGAATTGTGCAATAAATACCCAATTTATTTAGTATTTTAATCAAAATATATTTCATTTCAAAATTAGTTAAAATGGAATAATTTGATTACAGTCGTTTGTTAAAGAACACAAGGTCAAAACATTACAAATATAATTTTTGGTATAAGAAAATATAATAAATAATTTATGATACAATAATTAAGGAATTCATATAGTTTCAATATATTTGATGTTTTTTTTTTTTTTTTGGTATTTTCTTTAAAAAGGATCTAGTTTGTAATATTTGAATTTCGCCATAAAATGTTCTGAATTCTGATATGGAAATTCTTTAAGTTATGATAATTAAATTATAAATTTCATGTTTATGTTAGGTAAAATGCTGACATGCAAATTCTCAAATGCATAAATTTAATTATTATTTTTTTTACGTCAATCCCCAATTTGAACTAAAGATACAAAATAATCCGAGTTATCTAGTGACAAAAAGTGAAATAAAAATTACTTGTATAAAGTTGAGATGTTAGTATAATATAAATATCAAAATTTAATTTTGCTAGTATTTTATTGTTCACGCTCTTCCCATTCGCGTTATACTATAATGTATCTTCTCTTAATATATATATGTAACTTGTAAACTATGCTTACACAATGAAACCTTTAATTTCATGTTCCATGCGTGTCAATTCCCCTAATTTCCCCGAAATTTCTATAAAATTAAAATGCCACAAAACCTTACATATGAAGAAACAAAAATAGCCATACCTATTGAAATTATTAACATTATTAAAATAAACTATTTTTTTATCTTAATTTTTTTAACTATTTCATTCAATTTTTAATTCTTTCTTTTTGTAGAATAGTATAGTATGGTTCACCAATCGCTCACCAGTAGGATTGAATGAAACATATACTATAATTTAGTACCTTAGTAATTTAATAAGATCCCAAATACCTACCCACAAACAATTTTTTTTTTCAAGCCCACCCAAAATCCATCAAGGCAACACTCAATACCTTTTCTAACAGGCAATTCAACAAACACTATCAAGGCATCAAAATTTCTCCACTCAATCACAGCAAACTCCCATGGAGTTTTTCACCAAAACCAAGGCCGTAAGGCTCAAAAGCCACCTGAACAAGTACCTAGTCGCCGGAGACGACCAGATTTCCACACGGCAGAGCAGCAACGGCGCCGCCAGAAAGGCGCGGTGGCTGGTGGAGCTCGTCGACGACAACCCCCGCGCCGTCCGCCTCAAGAGCTGCCACAACCGCTACCTAACGGCCTCGAGCGAGCCCTTCTTGCTGGGGATGACCGGCCACAAGGTGCTCCAGACACTACCGGAGGACGGCGGCGCGTGGAATTCGGAGATCGAGTGGGAGCCGATTAGGGACGGGTTCCAGGTGCGACTGAGGGGGTTTGGGGGAAAGTACCTGCGGGCCAACGGCGGGACGCCGCCGTGGAGGAATTCGGTGACGCACGACAGCTCGCACGCCGGAGCCGCCACCAACGGCTGGATCGTGTGGGACGTGGAGGCGGTTGAGGTGCCGGAGGACGAGGCGACGGCGGATTACTGGTCCATGGTTTCGAGCTTCTCGTCCTTGTCCGATGAGATATCGGGCCTGGAGTCCGAATTCGGGTTCGGGTCTCCGATTTCCGTGAGGTCCGGAATCTCCGGCTCGCCGTCGCCGTCGCGGTCGCCACGGCGGAGATGGTTGTCCATGAAAAAGGTAAGGTCTGCTAAAACGCTTAAGGTCAAATATGGAAATGAGTGCCTTTCGTGGAATTTTCTGATATAATTAATACTTTAATTTCGTTTTTAAATAAACACTAGTATTTTTTCTAGATTAAATAAGTCACTGTGAACATATGACTTTTTTTTGGGTAATTTACTGAACTTCTGAATCACACTATGAATAAAATCAATTTTAGTTAGTGATAAAAATATGGTCATTGGACTTGAATATGGCAGTTGAAACTAGTCGAGCATTAATTCAATCCAGTCGAGTTTTCATTGTTGTTCGAGCTCGATTTTTTAATGCTTGGTTTGACTCGATAAAAATATATACATACTCAGAGATCATCTTGAATTTTATCAATTCGAATTTTACTCGAGCTTAATTCAAGTTTGGCTTGAATTTAGCTTGAGTCATATATAGTTAGGTAAATTGGAGTTATACATTCAAGCAGCTCAAGAGCACTTGAGCTAACAACATATAGGCTCAAATTCGAATTTAGGTGCTTGAATTTGAATCGTGCTCGAGCCAATCTTTGACTCAAGCGTTGGATTCATTAATAAGGTTTAATAATTAATAATATGATAATGCAAGATATGGACAATTTTTTAATCTATATTCCTTGGTCAATATTCTGGAATGTATAACGCATGTAATATGACAAGGATAAGCATTATAAGTCATAACATTAATAGTGGTGTAAACTGAAATAACTTTCAGGTGGGCTGATTAGGAAACATCTGGCGATGGGCTTAGTGGGACATTTTGAGCCCATTTTTGTACTCAATGGTAGTTGAGATAGGTCTCCTAAGTGCGACACGCAATACATTAATTTATTTCATTTTATTTATTTGATTCTATGTCTATTGACTCTATTTATAAATTTAGTATTGGTATAATAATTTGGGTTAATATGGAATCCTTAAACGCAATGGGTTGAGTGGCCAATTTAAGCCCATTTGAGAATTGTGTATTAGGAATTGCATTAATTGATTATTTAGGGTAGTTGAGATAGGTCACCTTCTAGGTGTTATATATAAGCAATACATTACTTTATTTCATTTTGGTTATGGGTCATTTTATAAATTCATCATATGTTTCATACAGCAATAATATTTCACATCTGTTTTTATCTGTTATAATGTAACATTTTATTAAAATGACCCAAATTTTACATAAGAGTTGTACGGTTGTACCAAATTTTATTTGGAAAAAATATGTTTATATTAAGTTCCAATAAATTGAATTAGGACGTTATTGGACTTTTGAATATTTTAAAGTAAAAAGTCTTACAAAATTATGTAGTGTTTAACTTTTTGAAACTGAGATTTATTATAACTTTTTAAAATTTAATGAGATTTAAAAAAAAAAACGTATATTAAATATCACTTTAAATCTCACCTCATGTCTAAAATTTCAAATGATTCTTATTAAAGGTTTAAATTTTAAAATAATTAAAAATCTCACTCTAAATTTCAAACGAACACATCCTCTCTTAAAATATACTTTTTTGTGTAATAATATTAAAACTAGTACTTGACTAGCCAATATTATGAGAATGTTTTATAAAAAATATTCGACGTTGTGTAAAACTATGATTGAAATTTAAGTGAGCAGATCAAAACACATTCGGTGAATGCACACACTAATATAAATTTGTATTTTATTTTTGTGAGACAATCTAATCATTAAGCAGATCGTAACATTACTACATAATTATATTATCAAATGTTGCCTTTAGGTTGAAAGCATTTTTTAATCAATTTACCAATGTATACATATTTATCAATTGACCAAGTCAATGTTTTTTTATGTATTATTCACCGCCCAAAGAATTTTTCAATTATTCATCTTCTCCATTTTTTTTCCGCTTCAGTAAAACTTTGTCAAAGCTACATTAATGGCGTCCTTTTCCAATCCCTCTCCCTAATTTCTCTCTCTCAATTCCTTTTAGAGTCTTCAATCCCCACAAAGCCCCTTGTCCCCAATCTCCAGAACCCCTGCCATGGACCTGTTCCGCAAAGCCAAATCCGTCCGCCTGAAAAGCTCCCACGACAAGTACTTAATCGCCGACGACGACGAGGAGTCTGTCCGCCAGGACCGCAACGGCTCCTCCAAATCCGCCCGGTGGAACGTCGAATTCGTCGACAGCTCCGACTCCATCATCCGCCTCAAGAGCTGCTACGGCAAGTACCTGACGGCGTCGAACCAGCCGTTCCTGCTCGGCGTCACCGGCCGCAAGGTGCTCCAGACGCTTCCGCGGCGTCTCGACAGCTCCGTCGAGTGGGAGCCGATCCGGGAGAACGGCGCCGTCAAGCTGAAGACGAGGTACGGCCAGTTCCTGCGGGCGAACGGGGGTTTGCCGCCGTGGAGGAACTCGGTCACGCACGATATCCCACACAGGACGGCGACGCAGGACTGGGTCTGCTGGGAGGTTCATGTGGTGGAGATAGCTCCTCCGCCGATGTCGGCGGCGCCGGCGGCGGGAAAGGACGATGTTTTGGCTTCTGATTCGAGCTCCCCGACCACAAGTTATTCGTCCAAATCTGCTAGTTTTTCCAGACAAGAGGTAATTTGAGCTAATTTTAGTTCAATTGTGGTGGATTTTGTTTGAAAAATTGGGATCTGGAGAAAGTTGAGCAACACATTTTTAGCCTGGATTTTTGGAATTTTCATATATATGCTTCTCAATTGTTCGGATAATTGCAATCGGGCAAAGAAAGATAAACTGAGTATTGTTTAGTTGATAAAAGATCCAATGTGTATAATTGAAGCTTGTTTAAGAACTCTCCCGAGTAGTGAAATGATTGTAAAAGCAAAATTCGGTGTTCATTGTCATGATTAGACCCAATGTCCCATATGCATAGGAGCAAAAGTTGGACAATGAATTCATTGTACTAGTAAAATGATACTGATATAACAAATTCTGCCTTTTCTTGCAGTCGAATGATTCATTTGTTAGTTCTCCCCCTAAGGGAAATGATGGCCGGTTGATTTATTTCCATCTAGCTGATGAAAATGGGGAAATTGACGAGGATTTTGAGGAGCTTTGCATCACATTCAAGGGTAATGAAGTGAACGAACTTACTAAGAGGCTCGAGGGCGAATTAGGAATTAGTGGCCTCACAGTGTGTACTCGTAGTCCGTTAAACGGCAAACTTTATCCTCTTCGTTTGCAGCTTCCTCCCAATAATTCGACCATGCACGTTGTTGTAATCCCCCCAGCATCAAAAGGTATATTTTTAACTCCATATTTCATTTTGTCACATCAAAACTATTTATCGTAGTTTAGTATTTCTGTTGTGCTCTTTTATAAAGTTTTGCTTGTGAAACAGAGTACATTTGAAATTGCTTTAGTTTTCATAATATTGTTTTTTTTTTCATTGAAGTTGGATATCCTACATTGGTTAATTGGAAAAAATTAGGAGAAATAGAAATGAGGTTGCTTGGTGTCTCTTGAGTACATTCATGAGAACACACAAATCGATACATATTTATCTTTAGTTGCTTTCTGATGTATACGTCTTACATACTTTGTTGTGTTGTGAGACTGTTCATTTGGGATTCTTAAAGATTTTCCGGGACTTTTGTGTATTTAATAATTTGGACCTTTTAAAAAGCACGAGGTATTAATTTGAGATTTCAAAAAGTCTTAACAAATCACGAGCTTATTTGATACTAAGATATACTAAGATTTTTTAAAATCCTAAATGAATAGACCCTTTTTTGTACAAGTGGACCCTTTGCTCAAATATGTTTCATGTTCTGTGGTTCAGTGAATCAAGAATCTGATAAAATGGAGGCTCCATTGTAGAAGCAACTAATTGGAAATCCCAACAGTTTTGTTTTTGCTCGGTGCTTCATATTTATGTACATCCAGCTAAGGTGCTCTTGGTCTCGGGTCGTTGTTCTTAATGAGTTTGAACCAAAGAGAAATAAAATGCAGTTAAGCATTTTGTATATAATTATTTAGAAGGACTGAAGATATGAACTGTAATTCGACTTCACAGCCCTTTTGGCTGTGCCTATGTTCTTCTGCTTGTTCTTCTTTTTCATCTATACACTTTTTGGGCCTTGTTTTTTGTTCATATAATGAGTGAGGTTCGGCTTGATTGCCCAGTTTATGTAGTTTTCTCTTCATCATATTATAAAATCTATGGTACAGGATCGAGTCACACCCGGTGCATGCTGTGAAAATTTTCGAATTTTTCTACCTTTTTTTTATTTGCCCATTTTCACTTTTGCAATTATCAATTAGGGATTAGATATTTTTAGATACATGTAATTTTATGTTACATTTTTTTTAAACACTTGTAGCATTCACCCTCTCTTATTTGACAAACCACTCACTTATCAAGTGACCTAATTTTAACCCTCTTACTATACTTTTTTTAGTAACAAAAATGAATAATTATAATCTAAAATGTCATACTTTTAATTATGTTGTTTTTTATAGTGTGATATTTAAGTTTTAAAGTATACTCATCTGTTTAAAAGCGTGGTTGGCTTACCGTTGCACTTGCTTAACACTAACGTTTTCGTGTTCGATAAAAGCTCGTTCGTTTGTTAATCTGGCCGAGTTCGAACAGATAATTAGGTTCGTTTAACAATCGAACGAATATGAGCTCGTTCGCAAAAGTTCGATAATGTTTGTGAGCATTAATTTAATATAATTTTATTTTATTTTTTTTATATACATTATATTTTTAATAAAAAAATTTAAACTATAAAAATGTTTTTATTTATTTATTTATTTTCGAGATCGGATGAACAATTTGCGAATCAATCATACATATTTAAAAAGTTTATGCTCTATATTCGAACAAAACGAACTCGAACATTGACGAACAATTAAACGAACGAACTTGAAAATAAACGAACAAACACTAATATTGTTCGAACGTAAACGGACACGAGTTCGAAATGCCCAAGCTCGGCTCGTTCCGTTCGATTACAACACGACGTACTACTCTACTAGTGTTAGGTTGTCTAATAGAGTAACAGTTAGATGTTCATTCTTTCATACAAAAGAATTATATATATATATATATATATATATATATATATATATATTATAAAATATCATATTTTATTGTATTGTATTTTAAAGTATGACATTTGAATATGAAAATGGATATAATGATTTGATATGCATTGTTGCCTAATCATTACACAATTGTCTTGGATTATTCTATTCATACATATTTTTTTCCATATTATTAGGTGCCTGATCAGGCCAAAATGTCTAGAATCACTCCCAATTAGGACCTCAAATCCCAGATTTTTTTCAAACTAGAAGCACCAATTGATCTTGATCTTGATTGTATGTGAGAAATATCCAATGCATTATATATGTTTTCATTAACTGTATGCAAACTTATAAATCGCCGAAAATATAATTAAACCAAACTTGTTGCTTTCACGATTTTAATTTCGGAAGGACCAACTGTGTTGGTTGATATTGAACATGGTTCATTGAAGAATACGAGGCTGGACATCGACCTCCATATCTTCTTATTAATTTAGCAATTGACGACAACCAAGAGTATACAATTGAAAAATTTTGCAATTTATTTAAAATTTTCTTTTTATTTTTGCATTTATATATTTTTTTAATTACTAATATACTAACTTTTACGGTTCATCGGCGATTCATTTGTAGTTTACTTTTGTTATCAGTTTTTAAATTGCATAGTTTTTTGGTTTACAACCTGTTTTGTGAATGATTTATGTATGACTTTATTTTAAATATTGTATTTCTGCTAGAATTACAATAAACATTTAAAAGATCATGTACCATATGAAGTATGTACTTCAGAGAAATCTGAATATTTGAGATAAATCCCAAATTCAGAAATGTAAATAATGGAATATGACATAATTTTTTTAATATTTTAAATAAAAACTAATACTTATAAACAAATATTATCCAAATTAAATACATTAGAATTACTCGTAATTAAAAAGTTATGCAAAAAATATTGATGAAAACATTGCTATTCCCCCCTTGTTCACTATAGTTGTAAACGAACCGAGTTGAGTTCGAGCCCGTGATATTCGAGTCCTTATTGAGCTAAGTTTGACTCTGCTCGTTTAATTAAATAGCCCATTGAATAGCCTTAGAATGGCTCAAAAGTGAATGGAACAACTTCAGCTCGATTAATAGGGTAATGGGTTAGTAGCTCGACTCATGCATTCTGAGGATACAAGAAGTTCGGATCTACCTACACTAGTTTATGGTGGAATATGCTTGAGCTAAGGTTTCTCGAATGACTGACTATACCCGAGCTAATGGAGGACAACAAAGGGTTCAAAGAACCCACCTAAATAATAATAATATAGAATTTATAGAATGGTGCATTTATAGAATTTCAGGGACAACTAATTTGAGTTTTAGAATATTTATGCCGGTAATCTTTTGATATAGCCATACTTGTGAACCGGAGTCAAGTATGAAGCGAGACCTGAAGGAAGAGCGACCTAAGGAGGTCTAGGCGAGACTTGAATAGAAAGACGACATTAAGAAGTCGAGGTATTCTGATGAGACTAAGTATGAAGAGGTCTGTAAGAATAGAGCTGTTCTGAGGAGACTAGAGGTTTCTATGACTAAGTATGAGGAGGTCGAGCTGAAGAGACTAGAGGTCTCTGTGACTAAGTATAAGGACGTCGAGCTGAGGAGACTGAGTAGAGGTCTCTGTGACTAAGTATGAGGAGGTCGAGCTGAGACTGAGTAGACTAAGTATGAAGAGGTCGAGCTATGAGACTAAGTAGAGGTCTCTGAGACTAAGTATGAGGAGGTCAAGCTGAGGAGACTAGAGGTCTTTGTGACTAAGCATGAGGAGGTCGAGCTGAGGAGACTGAGTAGAGGTCTCTGTAACTAAGTATGAGAAGATCGAGAGATCGAGCTTAGGAAACTAAGTAGAGGTCTCTGTGACTAAGTATGAGGAGGTCGAGCTGAAGAGACTAAGGTTGTGTTTGTAAAAGAAATAATTTGAGTGAATTAACTCAAAGTGAGTTTTTTTAGTTAACTAAGGTTAATTTAGAAAAAATGGTATAGTTAGTTGTTAGTGAAATTTTAAATTTATATTAAAATAATATTTAAAATAAAATAATTAAAATTGGTTTGATGTAAAAGTAGGAGATAGATGATATGAAGTGATGGTTAGTTAAAATTATGTGAGTGAATGAATAGTGAATTAAAGTTGATATGATTATAAAAATGATTAGTTGTTACTATTTAATAATTGATTGTTATTATTTAACTATATTGATAATACTGAGGACAGTGAGGTTGAGTTAAAGTTGAGTTAGATTTTAAGTATGAATTAATTTGGTTTGAGAATTTTCTTTTACAAACATAGCCTAAGTAAGGTCTTTGTGACTAAGTATGAGGAGGTCGATCTGAGGAGACTAGAGATCTCTGTGACTAAGTATGAGGAGGTCGAGCTGAGGAGACTAAGTAGAGGTCAATGAGACTAAGTATGAGGAGGTCGAGCTGAAAAGACTATGTAGAGGTCTTTGTGGCTAGGTATGAGGAGGTTGAGCTGAGGAGACTAGAGGACTCTGTGACTAAGTATGAGGAGGTCAAGTTGAGGAGACTAGAGATCTCTGGGACTAAGTATTAGGAGGTCTCATCCACGATCTACAGATAGTTGAGTTCACTATGACTACTAGAGCATGATCTAGAGGTAGTAAATGGATAAGAAGGAATATGATAATGACTCAAATGTGATTAGGATATATATAAGAACAAATCTCGGGCAGTTCAGAGAGTCCGGGCAGGTATTTCGGGCAAGTATTTCGGGCAAGTATTTCTTCTATAAAAGGGGACTAAGTAATAATTCTAACTCTCTCTCCCACTTTCTACACACTTTGCATACTATAGCTTTAGATTGCAGAGCTCTATCTTCTTATTATTTGTGCTGACTTAAGCATCGGAGGTCCGACGCCGGGAACTCTCCCGGCGTTGGGTTCTTGCAAGTCTCCCGAGGCGGGTATGCGGATCGGAGCTCTTCTCAACCAGTTTTACCTAGATCCGGGTAGAGCCCCATCATATTTTTCAATGCTTTGCAGGTTGGTGAGGACGGTTTGTAAACTTGGCAGATCGGTTCAAAGAGGTGCATAACACATCAATGATGGAAATAAGCGCCTTAAATAGTTGAATTATGTTAAAAGTCCATAACATTAAATAGAAGCCCCCAATTTTTCAAGCCTAACAAGCGTTCGCTATCTAAACTAAACGACATGGGTGGATTTAAGTGTAGCATAGCGGGGGTTATTGTGCCCCCAAACTTATACTTATTTTAACTATACATAGACATATTTTGCCAAATTTTTTATCTTCAATACCATGTACAGTATATATATACTACATATTTTATAATATATTTAAGTATACATATACCCCATACTCATTATTAATTGTTAAATGGTCTATATAGTAAGAACTTTGAAATATATTATATTTTTGTAAGTAATTTTTCACTCTTTAAATATAATATTTGTATTTTTATCTTATAATTTAGTGATTAATTAAACTTAATGAAAGAAATATGTAAAAATTAAAAAGAAATAATTTTAAATAAGGTTAAAAAAGAATTGTAAGAATTATTGTATATAGTCAATTGTTGATGAGTCTCGTGATTTGAGATAATGTCATAACACAAATTTAAAATATCAAACTTCATAAGTTATATCTGTCGTAGAATATTTTTATAATTTATAGTATCGAATTTTGAATGCAACTTTATGCCTTATATGGATATACAATGTGGTATTATTAAATATTGTATTCTCCTTCTAAGGGTTTTATCGGAGTCGAGTTGAATACCTCATGGTCAAGCTCATGTCTGTTTTATAAATATGTTGGCTTGGTTTGACTATTAAATAAATGAACAAAAATGTGAGCTTGAGCTTGATTCATTTAATAAGAAAATTCAATTAGTTGCTCGAGTTTTTACGTGTCAATTCGAATTATAATCGCAAATAATTCGTTTCAAGTAACAAGTCTAATAATTCGTTTCAAATAACAAGTCTAGTCCCCGCTAAAAAAAATTTTAAATTTGTTCCTGCTAAACGAGTCGAGACGAGTTTACGAATGACTCGTTTTGTTTAAAAGCACTATCTATTTACCCTCTTAAACATTGTAGATTCGTAGCCACATGATCTTAACATAGAACAAAAAAAAATATCTTGGCTACAATCATGGCCACGTTTTCCTTGCAAAAAGACTCCACCTTTCCATAGGCTCCCACACCTTCATATCGCAACAAAAGTCGTAGCTTTATTAATGGGCCACCAAAGAGATAAGCCCCACCCATTAATAATTAAGAAAACCCATTATTGTCCAACTATTCTGGGCCCAATATATCCTCCCCACGCCCAAGCCCATTTTTAATCTCTCCCGCGACAATAGACAAAAACTCAAAATTGCCACCAAATTAAGCGAACAGAGATTCCTTTGCACGTAAAAGCACACGATATTATTTTGAAGAAGACTAGATAAGTACGATGATGGATTAAAATAATATAATACAAATCCTTAACAAACTCAAACTCTAATCTAATATTCCAATCCAATAACTCACACTATTTATTATTTTCTTATATATTTTTTTTTTATTCAAAAGCACCATAAATAATACTTTCTGGGAACAATCAATAAAAAAAAAAATAACTCACTAGCTTTGATGGAGGTTGAAGTTGGAGACCGAACTCATGGTGTGGCTTCAACATCATCAAATCAGAGATCGCGTTTTCCGCCGGGCTACCGTTTTATGCCGACCGATCAAGAACTCATTGTTGACTACTTAGCCAAAAAAGTCAACAATGAGCCAATTCCAGTTGCTGAGATGAGTGAGGTCATTCTTTACGACTCTCCACCGTATCTCCTCGCCGGTATTCACTTTCATATAGTTTAAATAACTCACTTTACTGTTTTAGTATTATGTTTGTTATTATTACTTGTAAGCTTCTTTGGTGCTTCAATTCATGCTTACTTATTAAAAATTTAATTACTATTTTGGTACTTCAGATTATTTTTTGTTGTTTGTTTTTCATGTTTGAACTAAGGATATTTGTTTTTGACTTTTTGATTTTCCTTTCCGGCCGGAATAAAAGAGTGAATTCTGCTGCGTGGATATTTATGGTTATCTGGACAGTAGCTTTTTTTATTCTTCCTGGGACACAACTATTTCCTTGTTTTTTTGTTCCGAGTTAGGATATTCTCGGTAACTCATCGTCGAGTGAGTGCCTCTTGCGGGGCACGAACTGCTTTCTTTTTTCTTGTTTGTCATTTATTTTGCTAGTTATTCTTTCTTTTTAGTTCTCCTAACTCCTTAGATAGACTTCAATTCACACGCATATACATACACCATAGTTATTGTTATTGTGTTAAAAGTACCTTTTTTTTTTTTCTTTTTTTAATGGAAGTATAAAGAAAGAAAGAAGTGAGACATTAAATTTGGGAAAAAAGGGTTTAAATTAGGTCAATGTTTTTTGTGTTCAACTAACTTTCAAGATTTCTGCTTGACCGGATGAATAACAAGTGAAAAAGCTTCGACTAATGAGTGCAGCCTTTATGTACATCTTGAACATGTAGAATAATTATTGTGCAACTGACCTTCTTATATTAATTCACAACTTTTTTTTTTCATTTATTGAATAGAAAATTACCCTCAACTTGGAGATAAAGAATGGTACTTCTTCACTCCACGCGACCGTAAATATCCAAACGGAAACCGACCAAGTCGATCAGTTGAAGAGGTAGGCTACTGGAAGGCTACAGGAGCCGATCGGGCAATTTTCTCAGCCAATGGCGAAATAATCGGGAGGAAAAAGGCTCTTGTTTTTTATGTGGGAAAACCTAGGCCTGGGGATGCAACCAAGACCAATTGGATCATGCACGAGTATAAGCTCAACACTCCTTCCAAGAGCCCTAGTTGTAATGACAAGAGGGTACTTGCCTACCTTCTCTCTCTTTTTTTTTTTTTTTTTTTTTTTTTTTTTTTTTTTTTTTTTTTTTTTTTTTTTTTTTTTTTTTTTTTTTTTTTTTTTTTTTTTTTTTTTTTTTTTTTTTTTTTTTTTTTTTTTTTTTTTTTTTTTTTTTTTTTTTTTTTTTTTTTTTTTTTTTTTTTTTTTTTTTTTTTTTTTTTTTTTTTTTTTTTTTTTTTTTTTTTTTTTTTTTTTTTTTTTTTTTTTTTTTTTTTTTTTTTTTTTTTTTTTTTTTTTTTTTTTTTTTTTTTTTTTTTTTTTTTTTTTTTTTTTTTTTTTTTTTTTTTTTTTTTTTTTTTTTTTTTTTTTTTTTTTTTTTTTTTTTTTTTTTTTTTTTTTTTTTTTTTTTTTTTTTTTTTTTTTTTTTTTTTTTTTTTTTTTTTTTTTTTTTTTTTTTTTTTTTTTTTATGGCAGAATTTAAAAAATGGTCCACTATTTTGGCCATTTTCTAAAAAATGACCATCATATAGGGTGTCAAAACAAGTCCACTTTTTTCAACATTTTTTTTCAACTATAAAAAATGGTCCAATAAGTTGCCAATTTAATCAAAATTCGTACAAAAACCAACATAGTGTACTAAAAGTGGTTGTCATTTTTAGTACACTATGTTGGCTATTGTACGAGTTATGATTAAAAGTGACAATTTAGTGGACCATTAATATTGATGACACCTTATATGACGAACCTTTTTCATAATAAAACTTGCCTCTAAACCTTTTATAATAAAACTTGCCTCTAAACCTTTTAAGTGTCTTGTTCATTTCCTCTGGATTTTATTAGGTTTTTTTGTTTTTTTTTTTTGTTTATTAGGGTTCATTGATTACTAACATTTAGCTATCTTAACTCGAGCTATTTATGTAGTTGGATGATTGGGTCCTATGCCGGATTTACCAAAAGCCCAACCGGTCGAATAAGAAACAAACGGATGCGGATGATCGTGTTGCGGACGAGGAGGACTTAGAGAGCCCGTTTTTCTCCGAGAACAACGAAATCAAAGAAATCGAGGCCCATGAAACCAATGAGTTGGTCATCATGGACCAAGTGACTTTGAATGCTATTCAAGACAATAGTTCGATTTTGATGAACAATAGTTTTATCAGAAACGTTGATGGATACCATCATCAAGCTCCGGATAACATATACATTAATTACCCATGCACCATATTTGACCACGGTGTAGCTGATCCCATTACAGCTGATCCCATTGCCGGTCGCGTGAGTTTGTATGGTCAACATGGCAGTTTAGTCAACCATGGAATGTTTTACGCTCCACAGTTTGTGACAAACCAACAGCCGAATATTGTGGGAAATGATCCAATGGAAATATTGTTGTTTAATCAATATCGGACTAATAGCTATGATTCGCTTGACGACTATTCCTCAGATGTCAATGTCGACATAAAATTTGCCGATGGATGTATAAATGGTGACGAGGGGCACGCTCCTTATGATGGTGGGGTCCAAAAGCCGGATTGCTAACAATTTGAGCTCAATAAAAGGTAAATAAATAATAAGGGATGCATGCATTTGAATTTTTTTTTTTATTTTTTTTTCTATTATATGGTAGAGGCTTAGTTTATGGAATTGAGAAGCCACAGGTTATTGCTTTCATTTAGGGTTATGAGACATGTCTTTTGTTTTGAGGTTATGGGGGACATATGTTTGTTTAATTATTTAAATTCTTCTGTAGCTTTTTGCTATGTTAAATAACTAGTTGGCCGGATGACTGTGCACGCAGTAAGGTTTTTCCTTCTACATAGAATCACCTCTGCAGCTGTTGAATCAAAAAAAGGCAAAAATC